CTAGATTTGAGACACGTAAACAAAACTGTATATTTTGCACAGCAGTAAACATAGTTTTCATTTTGGACAACGCTAAAAATAATAGTTTTATATTTTGTACTGCGTTTTCTTTTCAACGTTTATTTTCGTATATTTTTCAACAATAGATGGAGAAGATCTGGCGCATTGGCTTTCAATCAGGTTTGTCGATCAGGTTGTGAGCTTGGACCCTGTTGATGTAAATTATTTAAAAACAAAAACTGATCTGTACTTTCAAGTCAGCCGAAGCTAGGATGGACAGATGAAAATCGATGTCGGTCGTTTATTTAAGATATTGTTAGAGCTAAATCTAAAAGTATGTTACAATTATCTTACTATAGCTCTAATCAGTCATGCCAGCAAATCCTTCTACAGATCATCACGAGGAGAATCGAGAATGAATTGAAATATGAATTACAAGAAACACAAGCGGGTTTTAGACTGGAAAGAGGAGCAAGAGACTCTATTTTCAATATGAGAATCATCCTAGAGAAGTGTAGAGAACACAAGATCGATCTCCATACTTGTTTCATAGATTATAGCAAGGCACTGTGCAACGCCATAAACTGTGGCATATAATGAGAGGCATGGGATTTCCAAGACACCTGGTGTACTAAATGGAATCTCTTTACCATGAACAACAAGCAGCAGTCAGAGTAGCTGGTGAAACATCAGAGTAGTTTGAAGTGCAGAAAGGAGTGAAACAGGGCTGCATTCTTTTCCCCTCCCTTTTTAACACATATGCTGAAAATATTATGAGAAACGCAATCATGAGTTATGAGTTAGATTATCTTCACAGCACTCCGGACACATCCATAGGCGATCAGATTCCCCTATCAACGTATTCATCAGCGTCGTGTGATTAATAGTACCAGTCCTATGTTTGTTAACTAGACTTCGTGTGAGTCATGCTTGGCTGTGCCGATCTTTACTCCCAATTCTCGTTTTCTTAGCAGTAATGTGTACACGTTGCTTCCAAAATCCTCAGAACGACCTAGCTCTCTAAAGGCAATGACAATGTCTGCGTGATCCATGGCCCGGCCATTTTCAATTGATGTAGCACCTGCCAGTCTTTCAGCTCTCTCATTACCAACAACGCCTGCATACCATGGAACAAATATGAAAGTAACTGCACACACAAGAGAATTTTGCAACGACGCAAGCCACTGTCTGCTCAAAGAATCACTCAGCACACACACGCGGGGATAGTCCTGTGATTCTAGCCATTAAAAAGCTTGTGTCACCGCCATCACCTCCATCTTCATGCTGCTGGTAGTCATGGAAAAGGCACCGCTGGCTTCCCGAACTTCCAGTAGTGTACAAGGTTTAGAAAGACTAATTCTGGCCATCATTAAAAAGCACAGCGAAAAAGTGTCAGTAGCACACCAGTAAAAAAAAAAAGTAAGTAAAGATCCCTTTTCACGCCTTTCGGCGCATCGGGCATATGGGCAGAGCGTCCCATATTTTTACAGACCATCAGCACTCTGTGGGTAATGTGGTCAGCATTACGCCGGCTGTCTTTACTTTCCCAGGACAGCCCATCCTGGTACCCATCTTAGGCTGGGTCGACCTGCGACGTCCCATACCACGACAAAAATCCACGCAGCCTGCAGTGGGTTTCGATCGCGGTATGCTGGCTCACGAGTCTGACTCCCAACGCCTTAGCCACGGACGCCGCTGTAGCACACCAGGCACACTGGTTTTTCCAGGGGTCCATAATGTATTTAAGAAGGCTTTGACCTCTAGGCCTCAATAGTCAAAATCAAATCCCAGTGTCCCTGAACTAGTGTAAACCTATTCCTTACAGACTTGTGGATTTGTCGATCTGTGCATGTTTATAAGCACAGTTAGGACACACTGGATTCTTCTTCATCTTTTTCTTCGCCTTCACCTGCTGTAAACTCCGGCAGACAGTTCTGGTTGTTCGTCCGCTTCTTGACTTTAGTCTTGTTGCAGAGCATACGTTTTGCGTGTACGTCCGGTTTACAGATCAAGCTTATTTGAATGCAGACAACGGGCTCCTCTTCCCTCAGACAAATGCACTCAGACTTCGAAGAAAACATCCCTAATTGTAGCCTTGTGTGGTATGCATGTTAGGAGGCAGACATTTTATTCTTTGTCCCCAAAATGGGGCCACGGAAGGCACACGGGAAGTATTTGACTGATAGTACAAATAATCTAGACACAGTAAAGGTGACATACCAGAAACAGCTTTGTGCTAAAACAATTAATTAATTAGGAACAACAACAAAACGAAAATATGCAAAGAAAGGTGCATTTAAATTTAAAAAAAAAACAGTTTAAAAAAAAATTCGCGTCATTGAAGCCTTGTTGTTTGTTTGTTTGTTGTTTGTTTTTACATCCAGAAACTATGAGCTTTTAACCCTTCGGCTCGGTACTATAGATATCGCAATCCTGCGGCCTTGATTCCATGATGGGTACCGTAAATCTGGGAGAAAATGTGGCTTTTCTGCCTACCCCCGGGAGTGAGCCCGGACCACAAGGATGGGCCAGTGGGTGCTATGTTTAAGATACTCTTATATCACTCACAACAGAGTTAACGTAGACTAGGACAAATAGATGGGTCAGCTTAGGGACTAATAGAAAGATATACAGCTAGGGCTTTTTTATATTGTAGAAAAAATAGGGTGCCGGTACTCACTCTAAAGTTAAAAAAAAAAGGTGGCAGTACTCACCATAAAGTATCTATTACATTAGTGCTGAAGAAATAAAATACATTAAAAACGTACCGGTATTGTATACGATTGCATACCGCCCTGGATGTGGATGTGATCAATATCAAGCCGGCCTTTACTTCCCATGACTTTACCTGATACTAATTTAAGGTTTGGTCGACCTGGAAGCCAAGGTCACGTGTAAACAAAATCTGACTCAATGCGGGTTTGAACCCATGGCCTTCAGATTCGCATGCAAGCGTCTAGCGGCTACATCACAGGGGCTCCCTTACAGAAGAAATACTGCCCATATAGTGCGTTGCGCCAGCATTTGCTTTTATTGCAAGATCAATACTGTACCTGTTATTGCATTTTATGGCCGGTTTACAAGCATTCATTTTCCAATAAGTGTGGGGTAGACCTGGAGACACAGCTTTGGTTCTATACAACGCAACGGTCACACTGTTGACTTCTGTTTAAAGTACGAAACCTCTGCTGTATTGCATAATGTGTCCAACCATTGTTTCATTCTATATTAGTGACACACCCGCTGTCGTATTCTTTATGACGTACTCAACGGTTGTTATACTCTATAAAAAGTACTATGCTCAACGTCTGTCATATTCTGCTTAAAGTACTCAACTTCTGCACCAGAGATAAATTTTAAATAAAATGAACTTGGCTCCCAGAGCGACCCAGCCTTACATGGTTATTAGGAAAAGTCCTGGGAAGAAAAGTCGAAGGTATGCTGCATTTACTTACTGGGCTACCTGTGTAGGGTCAGGGACCTCATTGTAGAGGGACAAAAACTATACCCCGCCACCATCATGCACGTTGTAAGAGTCGATTGATAAGCAGAGGTTGGACCAAGTCATCACCCTTCAAGTCCAAGTCGAGTCCCATCTCATTGCCACCAAGATGCAAGCCATCGCCATCGAGTCCCAAGTCATTGCCACCAAGTCACTAGTCATCACCATCGAGTCCCAAGTCATTGCCACCAAGTCCTGAGCCATTGCCACCAAGTTCCAAGTCATTGCCACCAAGTCCCAAGTCATTGCCTCCAAGTCCCAAGTCATTGCCACCAAGTCCCAAGTCATTGTCACCAAGTTCTGAGTCATTGCCACCAAGTCCTGAGTCATTGCCACAAGTCCTGAGTCATTGCCACCAAGTTCCAAGTCATTGCCACCAAGTCCTGAGTCATTGCCTCCAAGTCCCAAGTCATTGCCACCAACTCCTGAGTCATTGCCACCAAGTCCTGAGTCATTGCCACCAAGTTCCAAGTCATTGCCACCAAGTTCCAAGTCATTGCCACCAAGTCCCAAGTCATCGCCACTAAGTTCCAAGTCATTGCCACCAAGTCCTGAGTCAATGCCACCAAGTTCCAAGTCATTGCCACCAAGTTCCAAGTCATTGCCACCAAGTCCCAAGTCATCGCCACCAAGTTCCAAGTCATTGCCACCAAGTCCTAAGTCATTGCCACCAAGTCCTGAGTCATTGCCACCAAGTCCTGCGTCATTGCCACCAAGTTCCAAGTCATCGCCACCAAGTTCCAAGTGATCGCCATCAAGTCACAAGTCATTGCCACAAAGTTCCAAGTCATCGCCACCAAGTCCTGAGTCATTGGCATCAAGTCCTGAGTCATTGCCACCAAGTTCCAAGTCATTGCCACCAAGTTCCAAGTCATTGCCACAAAGTTCCAAGTCATTGCCACCAAGTCCTGAGTCATTGCCACCAAGTCCTGAGTCATTGCCACCAAGTTCCAAGTCATTGCCACCAAGTCACAAGTCATTGCCACAAAGTTCCAAGTCATCGCCACCAAGTTCCATGTCATTGCCACCAAGCCACAAGTCATTGCCACCAAGTCACAAGTCATTGCCACCAAGTTCCAAGTCATTGCCACCAAGTCGTCCTAAGCCAAGTCCCAAGTCACCAAAAATGTTTCTGTCTAGTCCCGATTCAAGTTATGTATCAAGTCACCTGCAGGTTGTGCATGGGAAATTGCATTTATCAGAATAAAGAGCGGAAAAGGTCACATGTGAAAGATTGGACGTTTTGAATCGGGACGTTGATTACCACACGTTACAGTGGCTGCCCAGAAAATACCAGTAATGTCAAGGAGTCGAGGCGACAAGTTGCATAACAAAGCCACCAAGTCGGGTTGCAAGTCTTTAATTACCCGACTTAAGTCGGACCCCAGTTGCGCGACTCGAGCTCTGATCACTTCTAATTAGGTATGTTTCCTTCAAAGTTAGAGCGCATCTGCTTGAGAGGCGAGGGACTGAACGAACAAAAAATAAGCTAGATCTG